GGGCTTTCCAAGGAGGGGTGGTTGGCAGGGATTGTTTCTGGAGCCTAGGAAACCTTCTAAAACCTGCTGCTGGCTTCTTTTCCCTCGACCTCCCGTCGGTGTTTGGTAAATATTAACAAACCCAAGCGAGTCATTTTCTGGAGTGTGGGTGAAGGGGTTGGAAGGGGGGGTAGGGTGGGAGGTTAGGATGCTTCTTTTTCCTCTCCTTGAGCCCCCGCCCCCCCAAACTCAACCCCACCCTTGCGCATGCCCCCCTCCTCCCCCCTACCCACACCTGCTTGACAACAGAAGGAATCAAAATCAATATTGTATTTGTCACCCCTCGGTCTCCTTTCTACTCCCTCTACAGCCCCGGTGCCACTGAAGCGAATTGTGGATTTATAGTGGGGAAATTAGCATAAATTATTACGAAATCTGTAGCCGTGTGTGGTCCAGCTTGTGGGAAAGAAAAAAAGAGGCTATTGCGAACTCTCCAAGCAGAAAGGTGGTCGGTGGTGGGCTGTGCAAAGGCGATGAATGGCTATTGCGCCAAAGAGATTTCCATTTGGTTTGCACATGGGTATAATTGACTTATGTGTATTTTATACAGTTTTCCCAACAACTCTCTAAGCCTCCGGGGTCGGATGTGGCCCCCTCCTCCTTCCCCCTCCACTTCTATTTGCTTTGGGTTCTGTACAATAGACGGATGCACTTTTCTGGAAAGTGCTCCTTCCCTCCTTCTCTTTATAATGCCAGTCTTAAAAAAAAAACGGTGTAAATAGCATAAATAGCATGCAAAGCGTCCCTCCCTCCTTTTCCTTCCTTCCCCCTCCCTTCCCCTGGGTGTTGTAGATCTCTAGAAGTAACCGAGATTAAAACTTTGCAGCAGCCAGGAGCTGGTGGCTCAGGCCTGCCATCCTAGCTGCTTAGGAGGAGGCTGAGATCTGAGGATGGAAGTTCGAAGCCAGCTGGGGCAAGAAAATCCAATTAACCACCAAAAAGCTGGAAGTGGAGCTAGGGCTCAAGTGGTAGAGTGCCAGCCTTGGGGGGGGGGGAGCTAGAGGATAACACCCAGGCCCTGAGTTCAAGCCCTTTAGTAGCACAAAAACTAAAACAAACACACAACAAACCCCTTTTAGCAAAACACGTTTTAAATAGACACTCACAACTTATCTTCTCAGAATGGACAATGTACCTCTACAAAGATTTATCCCAACTTGGGCTTTAAAAAAAAACACAACAAAACAGCTGAACGTTTCCACTCTTAGCATTTAGTTAATTCTTCTGTTTACTCTGAGCAATGATTTGGACAGCCACACAATAGCCTTTTGCAAGACAGCAAAATGCCAATTGTTATCACGAGAAAACATTATTCTGGCCCCATTCCCTACCTATCCCCCCCTCGCCCCTCCGCAGGAACTCACATTGAATAGGGGGGGCGGGAAGAATCTTTCTTGGGGTGCAGCCGACGGGATCTGTACCCACCCTCTTGAGTTCAGCCACTAGAAATAGTTTATTTGTCTCTATGTTTCAATATGGCCTGACGCTCCTGTTTGCTAAAAGGATCCTAAAACAATCCTAGGGGTGTGTGTGTGGGGGGGTGCTGGCACCTTAATACTCAGGAGGGGTCCCGCCTGGCTCTCCAGCTGTAATCTGGCCTGGACCTTGCTGGGGAAACACAAGCCTTTTCCCCAATTCCTTTCCTCAACTGTCTCTTCAGCCCTTTGGCCTTCCCCAACTTCTACCGCAGAACCCTCCCGCCCAAGCCCAGAGGATACCCCCACATGTCTTCAAACTACTTAGGGACAGCCGCTAGCCCAAGCTTCGCAGCCGGGGCTCCACCTCAATTCAACTGGCTTAATCTTTGGAGCCAAGCAATACATTGATCTGTCTTGTTTCAGCCAAGACCCCCCCCCCTCCACAGATGGGTTCAACGTGCCCTCCCCCCCTCCTTGTATCCTCCTCCTTCTCCTCCTCCTAGTTATTCCCTCCTCCCCGAATTAAGAAGGTGACATTATTCTTGTCTTCAAGCACTTCTGTTAATATTGGAAAACGTGCGCTTGCATCTCAAGCGAGGCAGCTCAGACACGAGAGCCATTTCAATATTAATGAAATTGTTTAATCTCCTAAATTCGTCGTGTTTAAGTTATGTTTTGGTGAGTTATTGACCACCCCCCGAAAGTGTGGTTAGTGAAGTTGTGTGTGTGTGCGCGCGGAGCACACGCGCGCTAAAAACGCTTTCTGTGTTTTTTTTTTAAATGCCTAACCACAAGCAGTTTCACAAATAATGCTCTACTGTCATTAATCAAAGTGGAGGCATTTCATCCTAATAACTCCCCACAGCCAACTCCTGAAACTTAACAAAACAAAACAAGCTCTGGAATATCCGGGCTTTGGAGATGATGATTCAATGCTGTCGGAGGTATTGAGTTTTCAACGACACAGTCAATTGGGGTTTCTTTCTAAGACCATGGAAGTCAAGTTATAAGCTCAAGAGAGCACGCAGGGGAACGCGTGGGAACTCCTTGCGTCATCTCACAGACTGGGTGCAGGCAGTGTGTGTGGGGGGGTGTCCTCACTACCTGTTTGATAGCAGTTTGATGACAAAGAGAGGGAGGAGGAGGAGGAAGAGGACTGAGACCAGAAGGAGGAGGAGGAGGAGGGTGGTGGTGGTGATGATGATGATGATGATGATGATGATGACAATCATTCATTTTACCCTCCAATCGGAGGCCACTCAGAACCGAAAGGAGCCTGCTACCCGGCAATCAAGCCTGATTGCCACCTGAGACACCATACCTACCCCGGTGCCCCGAAAGTAGTTCTTAAACCAAATCTTCAAAGGCACTTGTTTTAACAGGATCCTTTAAGAGCCCTCTTAACCCTGTATAAATTGTTCCTATGTAAGAAGAAAGAAAAGAAAGAGAAAGAAGGGAAGAAATGAAGGAAAAGGAAGAAAGGAAGGAGGGATGGATCGTTTCAGTTGTAAAATACCAACTTGCAGTCTTCCAAGAAACTCTTTCGTCCTCAACTTCCAAGAAACTCTGCAGTCCTAAAGTTTCAAACAACCCGGGAAAAGGCGAGGATCTCTTGGGCTCATCTGGTGATAAAAGCAACTCAGGCTCTTCCAAGTTAGCTTCTCCCTCCTGTGTCCAACCAAACTGCTGTCTTTTAAAGCAAGACTTTGTCTCTTCTCCAAGATACTCCATCTCCTCCTCCTCTTCTTCTCCTTCCTCCTCCTCTTCCTCCTCCTTTCTCTTCTTTCTTTCTTTTCCTCCTCCTCCTCCTCCTCCTCCTCCTCCTCCATCACTTGGCCAGTGCATTGAGATTCAAAACAAGGCTTACACCAGGCTGTCAGATTACACTTCGTATTTTTTTTTTAAAGCTCATCACTTTTTAAAAGCTACATACCCAACTACGCAGAGCTGAAGAAGCAGTTTAGGAAGGTCAAAGCAAATTCCAACCTACTTCTTGGAGGACTGAGGGAGAGAGGTTGGGGGTGTAAGGGGGGGGGAGGAAAGTAAGGGGGTAAGGGTCTGTTTTCTTTATACATAACCCATGCAAATCAACCCAGCTAAAGCCAAGCAAAGGAAAAGGGTCGGCTTCAGGAGAAAGCCGTGCCTGAAAGTCAGCGAACAATACAAACCCGACACAATGCAGAGGAAATAGAATACCCCAGGCCCAGCAATTTCCAAGTCAAACATCACCGGCGTGGCCCAAGCAGCTCGGGCCTGCCCGGTGCCTATGAATGGTCCCCTCCACCCCCCCCATCTCCCCACCTCCACGCGGACGCTGTCTCCCTGTCTCTCTCCCCACCCACCCACCCCCCTCCACCCACCCCGTACCTTCACACACCGCGCACCCCGGGCCGGTGCTCGCGGCTCTCCGCCAGTGGCCGGGACTCTTCCCCCTTCGCCCAGTCTGGAGCTGCTAGTGATTCCTATTGGCCAAGGTGTCCATGTAAATAGGTGTGAAAGAAATCAGAGCTGGCCCAGGAGGAGCTCAGCTCGGGCTCAGTCCCCTCCCTCTGCAGCCTTCCCCCCCCCCCCTTCCTTCCTTCTCCTCCCCCTTCCCTCCCTCCTCCCCTCCCCCCTCCTCCCCAGGCGATTGTCATATGATAGCTAAGAAGTGGCACATTAATGAAGCGCCGCTACAGGGGTCTTTTCTGCTCCTGCCACCGCTTAAAACTATCAGATGGTTCGAGGGAGGACATGGAGGCAGCCACCTAGCTCCGCGGCGCCCACAGCTGTGCCCTCCGGAGCCCCGAGGCCGCCCCGGCCCGAGTCCGCTGCCGCCCTCCGCCGAGCCCATCCTCTGGGCCTCCCGGGAAAGGCACCGCCGGGAGCGCCGCCGCGCCACCGGGCGACGCGGGGCGCTGCGGGGCGCAGCTGAGCCCCGGCTCACGCCGCCGCCGCCGCCGAGCGCAGCCCAACCCGGGCGGGCGCTGCGGTTGGGCTGAGCTCCAAAGCAGAGGGATCCGGCGGCGATCGGACGGGCGCCGATCCCGGATGCCGAGACGCGCAACTTGGGAACAACTTTAAGGTGAGCTCCGGGGCCCGGGGGCCCGTTCCCACACACCCCTACCTCACCCCGACCCTGGTCCTGGCCGCTTACTTTCTCCCCCTCACCCCCCCACCCCTCCCACACACGCACCCTCCGCTCCCGCTCCCTTCGCGCCCCTCTCGGGCTTCCGATCCCGCCTTCAGTGGGGTGCGTAAAGTTGCGAGCGCGCGCGCGGGGCGTGCGGGGGGCGATCCGGAGACGCGTTTTCCTAACTCCTCAGCCCCTGAAGTCTGTTCCTCGGCCCGGTGGGCCTCGTAGGGGGGATGTGTGTGGGAGTGGGGGGGTGCGGAGGCGCGTCTCTGTGCGGTCCATCCACGCTACCACCTCCCTGCCATCGCCCCCCTTCCTTTCCAGATTCAAGCCGTCCGCCGGCCCCGCCAGAAACCCGCCCGCCCGCATCCCTTCCTCCGCGCCCCCCCCTCCCCCGGCGAAGGGCGCGCGGAGCCGAGCCCGAAAAGATGCCTCGACCCGGCCGAAACACCTACAGCGACCAGAAGCCGCCCTACTCGTACATCTCGCTGACCGCCATGGCCATCCAGAGTTCGCCCGAGAAGATGCTGCCGCTGAGCGAGATCTACAAGTTCATCATGGACCGCTTCCCCTACTACCGGGAGAACACGCAGCGCTGGCAGAACAGCCTGCGCCACAACCTGTCCTTCAACGACTGCTTCATCAAGATCCCGCGGCGGCCCGACCAGCCGGGCAAAGGCAGCTTCTGGGCCCTGCACCCCAGCTGCGGGGACATGTTCGAGAACGGCAGCTTCCTGCGGCGCCGCAAACGGTTCAAGGTCCTCAAGTCCGACCACCTGGCGCCCAGCAAGCCGAGCGACGCGGCGCAGTACCTGCAGCAGCAGGCCAAGCTGCGGCTGAGCGCGCTGGCCGCCTCGGGCTCGCACCTGCCCCAGATGCCGCCTGCCGCCGCCGCGGCCGCCGCCGCCGCCGCCGCCTACAACCTGGGCGGCGTGGCGCAGCCCTCGGGCTTCAAACACCCCTTCGCCATCGAGAACATCATCGCCCGGGAGTACAAGATGCCCGGCGGCCTGGCCTTCTCCGCCATGCAACCCGTCCCCGCCGCGTATCCGCTCCCCAATCAGTTGACTACCATGGGCAGCTCGCTGGGCACCGGTTGGCCCCACGTGTACGGCTCGGCGGGCATGATCGACTCGGCCACCCCCATCTCCATGACGAGCGGCGACTACAGCGCCTACGGGGTCCCGCTCAAGCCGCTGTGCCACGCAGCCGGCCAGACGCTGCCCGCCATCCCCGTGCCCATCAAGCCCACGCCCGCCGCGGTGCCCGCCCTGCCCGCGCTGCCCGCGCCCATCCCCACCTTGCTCTCGAACTCGCCGCCCTCGCTCAGCCCCACCTCCTCGCAGACCGCCACCAGCCAAAGTAGCCCGGCCACCCCCAGCGAGACGCTCACCAGCCCGGCCTCCGCCTTGCACTCGGTGGCGGTGCACTGATGACGCCCCCCCCACACCCCCTCTTCCTCCTCCTCCGCGCGCGCGCGCGAGGAAGCCGGTCCTCCCCCATCCACCCGCCGCACCCCACCCCACCCCGGGCCCCTTCTCCCCCACACCCCCACCCCCGCCTCCCCGCGTCTCTTTTTCTTCCCGATCCACTTTCCCGGGCTCGCAATCCAGCCCCCCACCCCGCGCCCCGCCGTGGGACCCCAGCACCGCATCCTTCCGCCAACCTTCTCTTCCTTCTTTCCTTCCTCGCTCGCTCGCTCGCTCTCAAACTTTGTTTTGCAATAGAAAAAGAAAAAAAAACCCACAAAAAACCAACCCACAAACTTGCCGGAAGGCGCGTGGGAAGTCTCTCGTGTCCCTCCACTGGCGAGATCGGGGTGTCTCCTGTTGTGTGTAGAGAGGAGAGGGTCACCTCCAAAACCCAGTCTCCTCTCCAAAGCCCTCCCCCGAACCCCTTCTTAATAGCGGGGGAAAGGGTGTGTGTGTAGGGGGGGAGCGGTGGGGAGGGGTAAGAATTCAACCGATCGCCTTCACGCAGGAAAAACAAAACACAAAAAGCACGTCTTGCCCTGGGTTCGAAACCACCGACGGCGGCGCAAAGTTAGGACTTAGAGGAAAAAAACTGCCTGGGGGGGGGAGGTTTCGCTGGGCAGACCCTCCCTCCCCGCCCCCCAACACCCCTAAACAGTCACCCTCCTCCACCTCAAGCACATGGGACCCCCCCACCCCACCCCCGGGGCGGCAGCCACCCAGCCCCGTTCCCTTTCCGTCTTGGAATTCTGCAGCGTTCAAGGAGGCCAAGCGTCGTCCAGCCGCGCTGACCTCTGTCCCCCCCCGGCCGGGGACAGGCGGACGCCGGCGTCCACCGGGGGCGGCCCGGCTGCGCTGGACGTGTTTGTTGTCCTTGTTTAGAGTTTTATTTTGTTTGTTTGTTTGATTTCCACCCCCCACCACCCCCTTCCACCCCCTCCTGGCAACCGCGCTGGGAATCCAGAAGAAAGGCTGCTAAGTTTTGAAAGGGGACGCGAATCCTCCACACAAACATCATAAAACTTGGGAAAAGAAGTGAATTCAGAACCCTTGTATTGTTTACACAGCGCCCGGCAACATGTAAACAGTGGACTTGAATCTGTCTTGCTAAAGCGGGTGAGTGGGCAAAGCCCACTTGACAAGTTTACCTGTTGTAATGTGAATTTCTGGCCAGGTGGAGGGGAGGGGAAGGGGAGGGGGAGGGTGGAGGGAAAGGGGAGAGTTAATTGGGATGTTAACTTTCTTACTACTTACAGACCTTTGTAGCTATTTATTTTATTGGAGAAAGGGAAGAAGGAAGGAAGGAAGGAAGGAAGGAAGGAAGGAAGGAAAGAAGGAGAGAGAAGGAAAAGAATATAAGCCCAAACCAAGAAAAAAATAACAAGGGCAACCTTGAAGAACTTAGATAAGTTGTCTAATAACTTGAAGAAGGATGCCAATAGATCGTTATTTGTTTTTCCTGGACAAGTCTTTCTGTTTGTCACAAGAACTTTTTTTTTTCCACAAAGCTAAAGGGCTGCAAAGAGATGTAAATCCTCGTGCATAGGAATGGTATTCCACTGTGTAAAAATGCACTTTTTTTTTGTTTGCCCTATTCCTTTAGCATCTTAGGTAATTTACTGGAAAATGAACTGCTGTTCTGGTGTGACCTGCTTAAGTTTAAAAAAAGAAAAAGAAAAAAAGTATCATCAGAGCTGTAAGATTTTTCACTTTTCATTTTGCGTTCTCCCTGTACAGAATTAGCATGGCGTTTTAAATATTGATGTTCTGGTTCCCAGCATGCCTGTTTTAAGACAAAGAATTAAAAAAATGAAAAGGTGTCTACATTAAATTATGACCTAGTCTAAATAATATTTTCTCATTAAAATATGTAAATTCAAATTTTAGTTTTGTGTGTTTTTGAAGAGTTGCTACAGAAAACAACTTAACAAAAAGATGGTTGTACTCCCTCCTTAAGCATGCTTTCTAAATGCATTATGAGTCTTGCTTAAAATATTTTTTTTTTACTGTGGAAACAGCCAAGCCTCCTCTGTGGGACTTATTCAGATAGATTCTTCAAAGTGTGAGGGAAAGATGGGGCTAAACATTTCTATTATAAATCAGGTGCACAGGTATAATGCTGAAAGAAAATAACAATTGCTATTGAAAAAATATATAGTACTCTGATATGTATTTTATCTAAAATATGCATTTTATGACATATATAATGCTTCTTATAGCACTATAAGGCTTATGTAGTGATTGGATAGGAGATTTAAAAAGTAAAAACAGATTTGCTTATTCCATACTTATATTCTGGTACCTCTTATTAGGAGAGAGAAGTCACTTACCTATTCCTTTAAACCATTGAGTCATTAAAATCTTCCTTTTTGTTGTTGTTGTTTTAAGAAATCACCCAAGGGTTTACTTTCTACGTCAAAAGACCTGTTCACCTTGGACAGAATAGATTTCTTTCATTGCTTCTTCATGCAAAAAAAATAATTCTTGATGCTTTATTTATTTTTAAAGACGTGAATGGAGTTTATTTCAATGCCTGCCTGGCTCTAAAGTATTTTCTTTTTCTTTTCTTTTTTGCAAAGAATTAAAATTTGCTAATAATTTATGGTGGAGGCGAATGGATGCTTTATTGAAGATTGGGGGGGGGGAGGTTGTCACAGTATTTCCTAAGTGAGGGATGTACTGAACTAATGAAGCTACAAAACAGAGAAACTTAAATGGTGATTCACACTTTACTATGTACAATGACTCAACCAGAGACCCGCTTGTAATGTACAGAAAATTCCATAGAAACTCTAACGATTGATACACTCCAAGAAAAGTGTGATTTAGCATCTGTGCCTATTACTAATGGAGAGTGTTACCTGAAAAAAAGTTAGAATTAGTGCAATGGTTAACTAATCCTGTGTGACCATGTTTTTTTTTTTAAAGGAAGGATCCCACACACAGCCAAAAAAAAAAAAAAAAGGTGGAAAATAAATGAATCATTGGACTGATTGAAATGCATGAAGCTACCAAGGCTCATCAGACAGGGGACAACTGAACTCATTCATCAAGCCCAATTCACAATTATATCAACAAGATGAGCCAAAGAAAGCCTGGAAAACTTAGCCACCCTAGGCTAGGCAACTCTTGAAACTTAGTTCTCAACAAGAAACCTATTTACGTTTTAAGGAGTTAAGTATATTTTCACAGTTTCTGGTAGACAAAATAAAATAAAAGTCTGTGTCTAGAGTATATCCTGATTGCACCAAATTGATTAACTCTGAAACAAGTGGGGTATGAAGTATAAAGAGGCTGGCCAGAACTTCAAATACATTTTTAAAAAACGTATTTAGACAGTCAAACAAGCTATTCTTCCTACCATAGGTGTTGAAATTCAAAGATAAGCATTGCGCATATTCACACATTTACCGAGTAGCAGCAGTAAGGCATGGGACCTGCATCTGATGTTATTTTTTAATTTTTTTTTGCAACTGGTAAATCATGGTATATTGCAAAGAATAAAATAACTTGGAAATAGTGAGCCTTCTTTTCAAATCTGCAGGCATCCTACTTAGTGAAGGAAAAAACTATGATATTTTGACCTTGGTCAGAAATCCAAAGACGACATCACACACACACACACACACACACACACACACACACACACACACACACACACATCTGAACTCTAGTCCATCTTCATCTTTTAATGACCATGTCAGACTTAATGCTCTGTTTAGCTGAAGTGTCACACAAATAAGGAAGTTCATAACTGCCAAACTTTTAATGGTTCTCTTTGTTACGTCAAATCTTTCACCTGGCTCAAGTCCAAAGTCAATACTTTAAAATAATGCTGGAGGAGTCATGAGAAGGTGCACGATCCAAGATAAGTTCTACTCTTTTCTACTTTGTAAACGGGTGCAGAACTGATTTCTTTGATCACCTTAGATTCTCCCTCTGGGAACCCAAAGTAGCAAGAGTGCTTGTACTATTAAAGAAAACAACCCAATTCTATCTTTAATTATAGTTTTTTTAAGATTTTTCTCTGTGATTTGGAAAATGCTTACACAATAGATGGATTTCTAACATTTTTTCCCCCTCAGTGTTGCTTCTGGCTGATGTGGATGGGATGGAGCCCTGGCAACTCCAAGAAGCTGCTGGTTTAGGATCCTCAGAGCGAGTAAAATGTTAGATAGCAGTGAGTTTAATTTAATTCCTTTCAATAGATAAAGACATGGAGTATCTCAGAAGCATGATGCTGGCCCAGTGTTCAAGGAGGGTGAGTTTAGAGGATGGGAGGAAGAGAAGATGTAGGCAAGAGCTGTAGACAGTAGCTTTTAAACTCTTTAGGCAAGGTTAAGGATTGTGCATAGAGCTGGGTGAACAATGGTAAACTCCTTTTGGCCAAAGGCATTCAGTTAAGAAATAAAGAAGGATTGGGGAGATCTTTTCTTAAATGCTTAATATAAATATTGATTAATTTTTTCCCTTCTTCAAAAAGCTACACATGCAGAGACACCCAAACAAAACCCAAACCAAAACAACCCAACCCACCGGCTGCGAAATCTCAAAGGGGGTGGGGGGAGGGTGATGCATTTGTTTCGTTTAAACTAACAACAAATTATCTAATTAATATGTTTCAATTACAACATGAAAGGCACAGCCCTTGGACCGCCTGCCGTGGAGGTACAATAGCCAGTGAGCCCACTCTGGAATCTACAATAACTTCACATCTGTTTCTTTATTTTCCACTTTCTGAGTCGAAAACTCCTCTCAAGATCACTTCAAACCATAGCCTGAGTTATGAAATATGTCCCAGTGTTAAAGGGGGATGAAACTTTGCCCTAGCATGCTTTTTCTGCAAGGGAGGGGGGGGAAAGTGAAAATTCATTGAAGAGCATTAAACAAATATATTAGAATTCTGTCACTTTATGCAATTGAGTAGATCAAATGGAGGGTCCCGGCCACTTCATTCACTC